AATGTAGAATAAAACATTCATTAACAGACCCAGGTAGCCTTACTTCGTTTATAATACAAAGCTTTATTGTTCTATGTCCAGTGGCTTTTTGGAAGAAGTTTATTCTGGAGAGATGAGCAGATGGCATAATGGATACGTCTCCGGACTCCCACATGGCTGACTGCTGTTCTCTTAGTGGACTCAGAGGTTTGAAACTCATGCAGGGTAAGTGTCCATTTGTGCCAAAAATTCCGAGAGAAAAATGGAGGAGAAGGGTTTGCTGCATGGCCATCCCTGCTGGGTGGATGATTCCTCTCTCTCTTTCTGTCTTTCTCTCTCTGGTGAGTACATACACTCTATAGCAAATTCTCTGTCTCCTAAAAAAATTATTTTGGAGTGCACAGACATGAAAAAATTTATACATTGTAGTCATTTTTATAAAGACATTTTATTAATTGAGGGGAAAATTGCATGTTTACACATAAAAGTAAGTCATCTCAGTATTTAACTCAGCCAGAATAAATAAAGTTGCACTTATTAGAGAATTCCTGATTTAGAAAATTCAGAAAACCTCTTGCCAAACCTTTATACATTTAGGCATTTTCTTATTTAATATTTTGCAAAATATTCTATATGTTTCTGACCTGTTTTCTTATGCCCATCTATCCCTTTGACATTTCCCCTCAAGTTTCTTGTTCCAATTTTTGTACAAATGCTGATAACATTGTTATAATCCTTGGTGTATTTTTCTGTCAACACTTCCTGGCACATACAACTCCCATGAGCCATGAGGATACAAGGTAGATAAAACTATAAACGGCTTATGCATGTTAAAATCCACAAAGAAACTTTGTCTAGGAAGGTCCAAAATAACTATGTCTTGCTTCTTTTTACTATTTTTGCTCCGTATGGATACAATGAAAAATATATCAAAGACTACTGGTTATAACAATAAAGTATTTCTAAATATTTTGGCAAATAGTGATTTTTAGAAATGCTGGATTTCTTGACCTAGAACTGAAATCGTTGCTGATACATTGATTTTATAATATAATCAGCTTTCACAGTGTGCTTGTATACAGAGGTAAGATTGGAAAGTCAAAGACAATGAAAATTTCTCTTTTCTTAACAGATACAGATACTGAATTTTTAACTCAGTTTTTCAAAATATTAAGAAGAATAATTTGAGACTGCTATTTCATTCTGTATACATTAAGGATTATAAAAAAAAGTATGTTAACTTTAATGTTTGTCATAATTTATTAATTTTCAGAAAACCATTGTCTCTGGGTTTTGTCTTCCTCATTGAATATTGGCTTAATAAATAGCACAGGTTTCAGTAACAGATAGAAAGGACTTGGAATTAGTTTCTACTATATGCTGGGTGTGTGGTGTTATTCATATTACTTAACTTCTCTCCATGTCATTTTCTTTCAACTTAGCATATGGTTATTGTAATGAGTAAATGAGATAAATACATAAAGCCTTATTATTGTCCCTTAAATAGTGCCCTAAAAAATTGTAATTATTACTTTATATTTGGCCTAACTCATCAAATGTGAGGACTGTTTTTATTGTTTAATAATAGATATTAGTAACCACTATCCAACAACATATATTACAAATTATGCATAATTATTTTTTACTTTATATTTAAATGCATCCTCATAATAATTCTATGAGCTATCATTCTGAATTGGAAAATGAAAAAAAAAACAGGTTAGTTAAATTGTGCAAAGTCACATAACTACACGTGAATAAGTTATATATTTTACTAATTTCCTTTGACTGAAAGCCCTTAGGTTATCCGAATAATTGCACAAAGTATAGATTAATAAGTGTTGTTATCACACTTTTCATAATAATTTCTTTCCTTCTGTTAGTTAGAAATGGTCTTGGGCACCTGAGGGTAGGCTCAGCAGTAAAATGTGATACTCTGTGAAGCAGACTCATGTGGGAAGGTTGCCTATTTGCATCTGGAGCCCTCCCTGAGTACACTGGGCATGCGTGTGCTTCTGACCCAGGCTGGCTGAAGATAGGGGTGGCCATGGCATCAAGACCATGACAGGGATGCTGTCTCTGTCTGTCTTTGACGCTCTCTCTTTGTTGCACTCGTAAGTAAACATTATTTTAAAAATTATCTTTAAATACAGATACCTAATTAACACTCGGATCATGAGTGGACCTTTTTTGATTCTAGAAATTTGAGCTACTGAGGCAATTACTATTTTCCCTTTCTATTCCTACTGGTAGGTGCTTTGGTTTTTCTTGGGATTCAAACTCACCCATTTCCATTAGGGATAAAAAAAATAATGCATGATCATTTTTTTTGTACCTGAGCACTTCTGGGAAATGAGATTCTGAACTAATTACAGGTATATCATAAAGCAGTTATAGAGTAAAAATTTACAAAGTAAAATCTAAACAAAAATCCTAAATTGATTCTTTTTATCAAACTTTTTACCATTGAATCAAGATGAAGTTCTTCAATGATAAAAGATGCCACTAAACACAATCAGATATAAACTAAATCATTCCAAAAAAATAAATTACGTATTATAAAAACAAATTATCATCCAAAATGTCAATTAAAAATTGGTGTTCTATTCTCTTCTCTAATAAATTAACTGAGTATATAGACTAACACTAAGAAAAAAAATCAACTAGAGAGGAAAAAAGAGAATTGAAAAATTGTGTAATAATGTTGAAGATGCAAAGTAGCTTGAAGATATATGTGTTCACAACTTTACTTATGACTCCTTTGGAGTATTACTTGAGGAAAAAAGAATTCAGTATACATAGAAATTGTGAGATGGTAAATTAGTTTTCTAATAATTTGTGGAATTTTGGGAGATTGCCACTCATATCTCATAGTTCACTAAAAATAATAAGAAAAAACTGTCTTCATATCTTAAAAGAACTTTAAGGAGTAGCTTAAAAAGGACGATTTGGACATAGTATTGTTATTTTCTCAGTAAGGCTGTCCTTAAAATTTACTATGAAATGACAGAAGTTTTCTAAAAATGATTTCTATATACTTTCAAGAATTTGTTACCTGAATGGAGTCACTTTTACTTTCAATGAGTCACATGCCTGATTCAATAATGGAATATCCAAGAGGGGTAAGAATTCATTGAAGAGAAAGAAAGAGAAAGGTATATGAAAGTTATTATGAATTAAATATGAGTGAAAAAAGAAAGGATCAGTAGTTAGGAAGGAAAGTCGGAAATAATATCTTCAGGACTTGAAGATATTCTTTACTTCTCCATCTAAAAAAATCACAGACTTCACTGTTAATGATAGAAAATTAATTGAGAATAATGGCTCTTTGGTTTGTAATTATCCACGTATACTTTAATTGCCATACATTGTTTACAGAAATTGCAGTCGTGGCATCTGTTTCTCCTGTATGGGTTCTGAAGCCTATTTTCTCAAGTCCCTAAGAAACAGCAGAAGATAATGCTCATTTTTTAAATGAATTTCCCATACTTTGATGGTAGCATCGGTCTCCATTCAGCTCTGAAGGAATTTTTATTAAATCATCAATAGCAACCAGTTTTGCTGAGTTCACGCATGTAAATGAAAAGAAAACTTGAAAATGTCTTCAAAGATACATTATGCACTTTATAATCAAGAATCCTTTATCTTAAATTAAATATCCTATTTCAGAAACTTCTTTCATTATACTGAAATAAAAACTTTATATTGAGAAAGCATGGAGAGTGGTATGGCAATGTACCAGTTTAATTTATAGAGGAAACTTTTGACTTATATATATATATATATATATTTTGACTTAAATATATATATATATATATTATTAATATCATTATTCCAGAAGAAAACAAACAACTTTCCTGTGCCATTGTCCTGATTGCTTCAAGTTCCTGGAAACATAGAGCATTTAGTAAAACATGAATGTTGATGTAGACAAAAGGAAAATAGGAAAATATGCCAAATTTCTTCTCTGCTTCTTCTCTATTATCTAATTCTGAGGACAAACATGACAAAGAGCCCATTATCTGTGGCTTCAGAATAAGTGGGAGAAGGGTAGAAAAGTTACCTATAAACAATAGATGAAGCAGAAATCTGTCACATTGTTAAAATTTACTCCAAATGCTTTCGAATTTTGTAGGCACCTATATTTTTTTGTTCGTTTGTATGGTTTTGTTTTGTTTTTAGAGAGAGATTTTTGCTATCTGGCACATGTGCTCGCCAGCAAGATAGAGACAGAGAGACAGAAAGGGAGAAATCACAGAAATCACACATACACACACACACACACACACACACACACACACACACAGGGATGGTGGCCACGCCATAATCCTTTCTCCGTTTCTTCTTGGGATTTTGGGCACGTACATACATGTGCACAGATCCAGAATCAAAACGGTTGACTACGTGGGAGTCCAGCAACATAATAAATACGTCATTTGCTGGTCCATTTGGGTGATATTTTTTTCTGACACATTTGCCTATCCTGTGTTATGCTTGTAAATAATAATAAAGCTGGCATAAGTACGAAATGGACACTGTTATAGGGATTGAAAAAATGGTAGATTTTTCATTTGGATGGAAAATTTCAAGGAAGTTTTTAAAAGTCAAAGGCCACATTTTTATTCCAATATTTAAAATAACTAGAAAATTCTAGGTTGAAATTTCTGTTTATTCTGTTTAAGATACATGCTTGGAAAAAATCTAAAAAAAAAATCTTTTTAGTTTCCGTTTCCGACATGTAAGGTAAGATTTTAGCAGAAGCTCTCTGTGTAAAAAACACAGAGCCTGACGTATGTGTGTAAAAAACACAGAGCCTGAGGTATGGTTAAAACTTACTTAAAGTATTACTTTTTTTTTTAATTTGTCTTAAAGATACTCTGAATTACATAAATATGGCATACTCTGATTACATGCAGAGACAAACTCAAGCATGTTACATGGATAATCAATACATGTCCTCAAATATTCTCTCTATATTGTCTCCCCTAGATTGCAGAAGCAAAATAACAGAGTTTATCCTCATGGGATTGTCAGATGACCCACAGGTTCAGGTGGTGATTTTTGTCTTCCTCTTCATCACCTACATGCTCAGCATCACTGGGAACCTGACCATCATCACCCTTACCCTGCTGGACTCCCACCTCCAGACTCTCATGTATTTCTTCCTCAGGGATTTCTCCTTTTTAGAAGTTTCCTTCACAACTGTCAGTATAACAAAGTTCCTGAGTACCATTATTTCAGGAGATAAAACTATATCCTTCAATGATTGCATAGCTCAGTTATTTTTCCTCATTTTTGGGGGAGTCACAGAATTTAACCTCCTGGCTGCCATGTCCTATGACCGTTATGTTGCCATCTGCAAACCTCTGCAATACATGACCATCATGAATCCTAGAGTCTGCATATTGCTTGTCTTTGCTTCTTGGCTGGTTTCATTCTTAATCATATTCCCATTACGCAATTCATACAGCTTGATTATTGTAAGACCAATGTTATAGACCACTTTACCTGTGACTATTTTCCCTTATTATACCTTTCTTGCTCAGATACAAAATTCCTAGAGATAGTAGGGTTTTCCTGTGCTGCACTTTCTCTACTGCTCACTTTGGCTTTGATATTGTTGTCCTACACATACATCATCAGAACCATTTTGAGGATTCCTTCTAGCACTCAGAGGACAAAGGCCTTTTCTACATGTTCTTCTCACATGATTGTCATCTCCATCTCTTATGGCAGCTGCATTTTCATGTATATGAATCCATCAGCCAAAGACATAGTGTCTTTGAGCAAGGGGGTTGCTGTGCTAAACACCTCAGTAGGCCCCATGCTCAACCTCTTTACATACAGTCTAAGGAATTAGCAAGTCAAGCAAGCCTTCTTGGATATGGCAAGGAAGACTATATTTTTTTCAACCAAATGTAAAAAAAAGATACATTTATAAATTGGAAACATATGAA